TAGACATTGAATATGAATGTATTAGACTAGAAATTAGAGAGCTTTTGGTCTTTTAAATCAGAAAAATGCAGGTTTACACAGTAACAGTCTGGTCTGAAAGTACATCTACTAAGTGAGCAACACACCAAGTTTACAGTAAAATACTGTATTTTTTTTTTAATTCTCAATTTAATAGTGTTAAAATGTTAAATTAGCTATGCTGTGTTTAAACTTTGATTCCTGGCCAATAACTGAACTTTTTTAAACCAGGAAGTGAAACTTCACAAAATTTGTTTTTTGTGTCCTGGGTCATTGTAGGCAACAATAATCTAGCATTTTTGTTTGTTTGTTTGTTTGTTGGCATAAGAAAAAGGAGAAAATCACAGAAAAAAATACACTGTGGCTCCTCCTCACAGAAAGTTCACACACAGTGCTGACCGCTACAGCCTATGCTATGATGGCTAGCCCTTTTAAGCTATGTTAATCTTTAGCTAGAAGTGGCCAAAGCTCCTGAAACAAAGTAAAGGTTCTGGCCAGTGTTCATACTCAGTGTTGTTTCATGTAGAGGTCATTCTTACAAAAGCTGAGATCTTGTTATAGCTCCAAAAAAAAGGACACAGAGTTTAGGGTCCATAGACTATCAACATATGGTTGCATTTTGTTCCTCATAATGAATTTTAAGACAGAGTACAGACAAATGATGACAAATAGTTTTGTATGGTTATGGTAAACCTTATATTTTAAATTGTACTGTACCATAATATGTTGTTGTAACTCACAAGAGATACACTGTAGAGTGTACGAGAGTTTTATGCTAGCAAATTCAATTCAGTTCAATTCAATTCAATATAGTTTTATTTATATAGTGCCAATTCACAACAGTCTCCTGAAGGCACTGTCAACTTAACTGATGCAGTGTACCTAATAAATGATAGCTTGATGAAACATTTAGAAGAGGCAAACACAGCCACTCTATACCATACTACACAAACTGATCAAACTAAATACGATTTCTTTTAAAGGCTTTAAATAACCATGTAGGAAGAGTGACTGCAGTGTAGTATCCAAGCAACAGAGACGACTGATATGGATTCTGCTGGCTCCATCCCTCTACTCACAGGGGTGACCTCTCAGACACAAATATACAAACACACACACACACACACACACACAGGCATACGCAGAATTCGTGAGTAGTTAATAAATGGATCACAGAAGATAAAAAAAAATAAATCTGAGGGGCATGTGTGGCCGCTACGGTCATCATGCATTGACAGGCCAAAGACTGCTGTGAAATCTCTACTGTCATTGCTTGATTGTGTGCTGTGTGAAATGACATAATGGCATCTGTCTTTTAAAGCTGACTTAAATCTGCTATTTGTCACACACAAGTCAAACACATAAGCAGATACAAGCTGCAATAAGCTGTCATACAGCCTAAATGTATTGAAGTGCGCCTGCTTTTGGGCATACACAAAAAAAATACACAAATCATGGTCATGCTCCAAAACCCACAACACCTGGGACAGATGGCCTGGCATTATGGGGAAAGCTATAGCTGTTTGGCTCTGGGGGAGATGGAGAGGAAGAAGCAGGAGGCTGACAGGTGTGCTACTTTATTTTTGTCTGACTATGCAGGAGTGTCATTAAAATGTTCAATTTAAATGCTGCAGCACTAGTTTTTTCTTTCATCGGACTAACAAAGGAACTGCAGCAACCCTGGTCTCTGTTGAGGAGCGCTCAATAAAAAGCTTAATCTTTCGTACCATTGTGCGATTTATCTGATAGTAAGGGCAGGTCAATATTTCTTTTCGGTGTTCCCTGTCTGTAAAAAAGTGGTGGTCTAAAATAAGCGTTCTGATGACTGCTTGTTGCTGCACAATGACTAAAATTGACCCTACTGCTGTCGCCATGGCAATATAAAGATGACAACTGGTAGCTGGTCTAACGACTGGTACTGGCTGTCTTCGTCTGCACGCATGCTTGTTTTCATGAGAGAAATTCAGATTCTGACATCCTTCTTTTTGGAGGCAAGCCTAAACATTAAGTCAAACAGAGAGCCAGCAGCTTTCCTACCTGAGTTGGAACTGTACATGTAGACAAACTTGGACCATCCATAGTGTTCGATAACTCCCACCAGCGCATCCTGGAGCTCGGGCCTGAGCTGGATCACAAATTGGTTGGCTGTTTCAATGGGGAAGGATGGTGTCACAAAGCAGACATGCAGCGCTCCACAGAAGGACATGAGCATGTTGACTGTCTTCCTGTCATAGAGGCCAATGATGGCATACACACCTTTGGAGAACTGGGAGCAAACTGCAAGGGACAGAACAGAAAAACAAGCAGATATACAGGGTGTTAGTCTTTAAACTTTTGAACAATGAAATCAGCAAAAACATCAATCTAATTATCTTTTCTTTTACACAGCGTCTATTAAGCGTCAAATTAAACTTTGTTGCCATCCTGCCTACATCCGCTAGTAGGATAAGAGTGATATGGTCCAATAGGCAATTATCGCAATTAGCCTGTAGAGC